AAAAAAAAAACAAAAAAAAAAATAATAAAAAAATAAAAAATAAAAATCAAGAAGTTAAACAAGAAAAGGGCAATGGTTCAAAAAACCCCTTTTTATTCCTTTAAAATTCGGCACAACCCCACAAACAAGGAAAGAGAAAAACTAAACAGAAGGTAAAAAAAAAGTATGAACCTTGAACTGAGGAGTGAGAGAGTAAGTTGAATTGGTTTTGGGAGAGTTGTTTCTGGTGAAAGCTGCTGTACAGGAAGAGGATGCACTAGCAGCCATGGCTGTTGACATGGTGCCCGCGCGCGCGTGAGTGTGTGTGTGTGTCTGTGTGTGGCGCTAAGAGGTTTGCTGATTGCAAGTGTTTTCCAGTGGCTTGATTTCGATCTCTGCGGATAGCTTATGAGAGCCACACGCCCTTTTGAACGTAAGGGCGACAACACAGCATGTTCCTATTGTCCATAACATTTGATTATCTACCTTAGAAATTCCATTTAACAAAATGGATACCACTACCCTTTTTTTTTGTGTGTGTGTGTGTGTAATTTAATGTAAGCCCGTAATCGAGTCATGCCGAGCTCGAGATGAACCGGAAATCGAGTTGAAGCTCAGCTCGTTTATAATTAATAACGAGTCAAGTTCAAGCTTTAACGAGACTCTGGACCTTCAACGAGCCGAATTATATAAAAAAAAAAATAAATCTATTTTCGAGCTGAGCCGAGCTAAACTAGAGCCTTAACGAGAAGAACGCGAACTGAGCCGAGAAAAAACTATTTAATTTAACAGCATTATGTGTAAATAATGAGCAGAGTCGAGCTTGAGCTCTTGATAATCGAGCTCAAGTCAAAACTAGTTTGGCTCGTTAACTAATCGAGCTCGAACGTTGCATGTTTTTCAATATTGACAAGCTAAGTTCTAGAAATTACATAAAACAAATCTATTTTTGAACATTAACCAACATTATGTTAGTTGGAGCTCGTCTCGTTTATCAATTTTAACGAGTCGAGTTATAAAAAAAGTACGTAAAAAATCATAGTTTTGAACCTTACAAGCAGAGTCCGGTCGAGTCGACCCAGAATTTATGGGCAGCTCATTTAATCTGTGCTTAAATCATCATTTAATGAAAATTGACAGAAAAACTAAAATAATAATTATTAAAAATACAACTAATTTTGGGCTTCAAGGTGCGTTAAAGAGTTACACACTGAAACTAAGAGCACAAGTCCAGTAGGCTCCCTCATTATACATAAGCAATGGGCTACTGTCTCCGCTCATAGAAGCAGTAAAAGCCCATAAAATGAGCCCGTCTGTAGTCCAATAATGGTTTCAAACTACAAGTCACAGTGAGTTTAGTGAAATACCTAATCATATCAATTAAGAAAGTGAATTGCTATTTACCGCCCCCTTTTACTAATCACCGCCCCCCCAATTACGTTTTTGCCCTTATGACTATCTCTCTACTTTCTCTCTCTACTCTTTCCTTCTCGACTTTTCACGGCTCTTTTGACCGTAAAAAAAATGTCGAAAAAATCCGAAAAAAATACCATGACATCGGCAACACATTGAAGATTGACTATGTATTTTTTTTTATATTTTTTCACTTTATAAATAATTTTTAAATTTTTTTTATTTTATTTTTTTTTC